AATGCCATCATGACTTTCACTGTCATGGTATCAAAGATGAAGGCAAATATTTTTATAGAATCAATAAAATTTAAGAGACAGAAGGGACCTTATAAATATCTGGAAATCAGAAGCCCAGAGAGAAGTGACCTGCCCAAAGTCATACAGAGCTAGTGACAAAGCTGCAGCTACAAATCAAGTCTCTCGTACTAATAATGTAGTCTGGCCACTCCCCTAAAGGTTAACATGAACAATTATGCTACCAATTTACTTTGCTGTCAGTAATGCCAGAGATCTCTAATTTCATACATCTAACTTACTGTTGAATTTATAGGATTCAGTTACTAATTGTCTTAATTTAATGCATTTCCACTGAGAGATCATGGTCATTAAGTCTCCCACTGTTAAGAAAGTTGAGCAAGTTTCCAAGATTCCTATATGATAAATGACTCCCTCCACCTATTTATTATAGGCATTTGTGAAGATCAATCTTTTTACTCTTGGGTTAAGAACCATTTTAAGAAATCTGTAAGATATCATGGAATTTAAGGGAAATAAAACTATCTTTCTGTCATAGTACTTATTGTTCTCTGGCCTTTTCTAAATGCACAATTTCAACTATTTGACAGCGAAGTCTACCTATATGATAGACTTTTCAAGCTCAACTTTTAAGATCTAAAATATTTAAAAACACTTCGGGAAAACTGTAATTAGTTTTTTTTTCATAGATATACAAAGTACCATACATGCATTTCATCACGGATATTTATAGATAGTTGCTTCTAGGTGAATTTTAAAAATTAATTTAAGAGAGATTAAATATATCTTATAGTGAGAGTACTAATAATTCAAGAAGCAAGGTTGAAGACTAATAAAGAATTAGAATCTTAACTCATGGGCTTTTAATAGCTTATTTGATTTGCCTTAATTCTTAAGATATAGTGAAACAGACCATCTAGATACAAATTCTAATCCTATCTTCCCTTTTTAATGTAAGAGCTTTCTAATAGATTTGTCCAACAATAGAAGAAACTGTTGTGTGAGGGAATCAGTTCATTACTATAAGATTTCAAACTAAGGCTAAAAGATAATCTGTCTGGAATTCTTAAAAGGATTCTTGCATTGAGAGGTAGATTAAAAGACTTCTAAAATCCTGTAAGTTCTAAGATTCTACGATTCCAATAGTCTTTCTCTCCTACTTTTATAGCACACAGGTCCTTTCATGTGTGTATCTATAGTCATATTATCTTAGATTGCCCTGTATTGTTATTATCTTTGCACTTATTTTATCCTGCTTGAAGATAGAGATGATATCTCATTCATCTTCATATGTCATACAATTTTAAGTGTAGTTTCCTGTACACAGAAAGTATTCATTAAATACGTATTAAATATACTTGAAATTACAAGCTTAATTGGTTGATTTAATCATTATAAAATTTAAGAACCATATTTTTTCCCTGATATGAGACTCTATATTACTACAATGAGTTTTCATGTTAGAATGAATTTGGAGTGTTGCTCTTTTGTAAGGTTATAAGTAAAATAGGAATACTTGATTGAACATGAACACATATTTAAGGCTTAAAAATAACACTTTAAAGTATTTGAAAAACATATTTCTTCTTTCATTTATCCTTTCATTGACAATGTGAAAAGTAGCATACATGTACACATAGAAACATATATATTTATATATAGGAATATTTATATATTTATAATATATAAGACATGCTAATACTTATGTATAACATGGTTACCTCTTTTTCTCACATTTTTAAGATAGATTATAAGATTGATGATTTGAAAAACTAATTTGAGAAAAACGAAAAAAGCAAAATAAAAATTCTAAAATTATCCTGTTGTAGGTTGAACTGTGTCCTCAAAATGATAATATTGGAGTCCTAATCCCCAGTACTAGGAATGTGACCTTATCTGGAAATAGGGTGTTTGCAGATGTAATGAAGTTAAGATGAAGTCATATTGGATTAGGGTGGGCCCTAAATTCAATCACCAGTGTCTTTATAAGAAGGCCATGTGAAAACACAGAGAGACACAGGGAGAACCCCATGTGATGACGAAGACAGAGACTGGAGTGGTACATCAGCAAGGCAAGGATTTCCAGCAACCACCAGAGGCTAAGAGAGAGACATTAATAGATTCTCACTCAGAGCCTCCAGAAGGAACCTACTCTGCTAATACCTTGATCTTAGACTTTTAGCCTCCAGAACTGTGAGAAAAACCATTTTTATTGTTTTAGGCTACCAGTTTGTAGTACTTTGTTATGGTAGCCCTAGGTACTTCACTATGAATTCCATGTTTAGAATGACAAAATATAGTCTTAACCATAATTTTGAAAAATCAACCACAAAGTATCATGTAAAAGAATTACTTTTGTCTGGAAAATCAATAAATGGAAAGTCATTTAAGAAACGAATCCTCCCAATACACAAGCTCAAAAGGCAAAAGGATGGAAAATCCTTGATATGAGAATATTATAGTGAGTGGTAGCATCCTAGAGTACAACTAAAACTAACTGAATCAAGAGAAAGAAATTGTCTGCGTTGAGAAAAGTATATTGAGATAGTCAAGATTACCAAGATTTATTGATAAAAGTTCCTTATATAACTAAGTAGTAGTCTCACTTCCATTGCAAAACTTTTTTTTTTTTTTGCTAAGTGTCAATAATGCATGAGGACTTTTTATCTGTCAGTGATCTACAATTACAGCAAGGAACATCATTTCAATCACATCTTATTCCATGACGTCCCCCTTATATGTTCACAATTGGCCCACTAAAGGTCCAGCAAGTAAAGAACCTGAGTAACAAAGGCAATTCTGAGAGTTCACTTGTCCTTAGCTAAGTAGAATCCTGTCCCAATTTTAGAAGACCATCATGATCCCAATCATCTCATAAAAATGCAGTTTCATTTATTCATAGGTGAATATATTTTTTCCC